GAACAGCAGACGATGACGAAGGGCGCGGAGATATGCGTGTCTGACGACGTTTCGACATTACAGTGTCAAACTCAACCGCGTCCATAAAGCCCCTTTGTGCAGTCACAAACAGGGGTCGACAATCAGCGTCCAAAAAGACAAGATGAAATCTGCAAGGAAAAATAGAGCATTGACAATAAAATGAGAGATCAAATGCAGTAAAACGTGAAGTAACTAATTCGTAAACGTTTACACATGAAAAGATCATCGACACTTATCATTTACGACCTTATTGATCCTTCGTCGATTTGTCTGCGAAGATGTCTGGAGATAGCAGCAGTAAGAGGGCGATGGGAGGAAGGAGGGGGCAGAAGGCGCTCCACTAGATGCTCTGTTGTCCAGGAGATGCTACTAGGAGCCGCTGGCGCATTGCAAGGAATGAAAATGTCCAATGTGGTCTCATCCGTCTTCGCGACAGCGATAAGGTCTCGCTGGTCCGCAAGGCGCACACAACATATATCACAAAAGCCGAAGTCTACAGCAAAACACACGACACACTCAGCATATTTGGTTCCAGTACAAACGACTTTGCACATAGAATGCCTAGCTCAATATAGCTTCTAAATGGACCGAAGTATGGGACGCTACGGCCCACGCTCCAAAATGCCTACTGGTAGGTGGGTTTTATGGCAAAATACAAACACCCAACACAATTACCCTATGAAATAATATAGTGGTAAACTAAACTACTGGTATTGTGGTCTTAAAAGCAGTTGCAATGTCATCAGTCCACGCCGAAACGCCTCCAAGTATCTACCAGAATTGCAAACGTCTCTAAAATTATGCTCCAAGCCTTAAAAGAGCTACATTGGGTCATGTGCTTGTGCAGAAGGCATAGGATGTGAAAAATAAAGGACATACGCCTCTTGACAGCATCCAGTACTATCAAGTGATGAAAAGGAAGTTCAGCTTCAGAATCTAATACGCTCACTGAGTGCTCCGAGGTCTAAATAATGAAAAACCGAAGTGGAAAAACAACGTATAACGAGCAAGGCGGATGTAATTAGTGTAGAGCAGAATAAATAGGCTACAGAATAATGGAGTGCGAATTAACCTTATGAACTAAACAAGGGTATGATTAGGACGAAAACTATGGTAGAAAAATAAAATAAAGGTCAGAAAACATCAAAATAGACTAGAAATCGAAAAACAATAAAACCGAACCCCACCTCACAGGGTGTAACTACGCCTTGCATTGTCAAATATGCGGTGAAGTGTTGAAGGTTAAAACAAAAATAAAACAAAAAATATCAAATTGTCTTAAAAATATGCAACAAAATTAAAGCTTATCAATAGAATCTAATGCTAAATTTTGGTTTGCAGCGGTAATTATGCTCTTTCTGGAATCTGGGAAGTAATGTTGGGCAGAAGGTGAAGCATAGATTCAATACCAGATAAATAACCACAATTATTTGATCAGTGTTTGACTAACCAGTACTAAAGAAAGCTGCTAATGATTGTAAATTGGAAACTGTATATACAGCTGCAGCAATGTAGGACGAGGCTCAAAGACCTCCCCTCCCTCTGTCCACATATTCTTAGAGCACCCAGGTTGATTCGACTTCAATGTATTTATTTGAACACATAAATGGAGGGAGCAAATGCAAGTTTAAGGAGGCGAGGGCACGAAACCGATCCTCGGGTTGTAGGACGTTGACGCCCTAGTCACGAAGTTGGATTCGCATTACCGCCTCCTCCGCGCAAGGAACATCAAAACAACATAAGTATTACAGTATTATACTGCATGGAACTGCAAAGATTTACCGACAATTGGTAGCGCCCTGTGTCTTCAGTGGGGCCGTAATAAGGTAGAGAAGCATAAGTGAGCATATACATGTAGCGCATAGTTGTGTAATACGATAGTGGTTTATCCCTCGGTTCTGGTGAGGCGCCACTTTTGTACTTCGAATTAGCCCCCTTGTACCTCGCTGGCTGGGGCTGGCCTTTTGGGCCATGCCAATAGCCCATACACCTTCTCCGTGCTGAATATATATATTCTGCCCGAGTATTGTGTCTTCTTTCGTCTTAAGGGAGTCTCGGGGCGCTACAGTTATTTTGGAAGGTATAAAAACCACCCCCAGAGCACCTACGTGTTCTTTTTACTAAAAAAGAGAGCAAGTAACGTATTAACTATGTAGCCTAACTTCGACTCCAGACACTTCGATCGAAAAAGCGGCGCGGAAAAGATGCCCTACATGAACATAAACTTACATGATGCTAGTATACTTCTCCGCCATAATTGCTATAGCTAAATCACTTCGATTCCTTTCCTAAGCAAATCCGCCATCAGCTGAGAAAAAAGGCAAAAATTTTTTTCTGCGCCAATAACTTACTGATTCCCAATTCAACAGTTATTTGTTTGGAGCAATGAAGCGTTTCTGGTTTTCACACTAATGGAATGCTGAGCTCATTTGCAAGATGCGGTGTCTACGGAAATTGCGGAACAAATCAGGACCAAACTCAAGTAGGCCGGTCCTCCATGGCAATTTTCTACACCTCCATATTGGTGCAACTCACTGAACAAACTTGGAGAACTTCCTTACCTCTGTAGTGCTAAAAGCCAGTCATGCCAAATTTTATTCAAATCTACGCCTTTACAAATTTAAAGTTATTTCGACCTAATATCCGCCAGGATCTTAGCATGAACACTGGTTTAGTTTAGAGGAGGCAATTACCATCGAGGACTGCCCTGAGCACCTCAATCAAATTGCCCTCTAGGAAACGAGGAAACCAAAACTCTTAACCAGTGGAACTGGACGCACGACCTCCATCCATCATCGAATCGCCACCCATTTTGCAGACGCTTTGCGTCCATACTGACAATTCCTTGCTCATTTCTCGATCAACACACCAATCCCGGCTCCAACCTTCAATATCAGGTCGCCGACGCGAAAGACAACGGCCATGTAGCTCATTTCACCAGTCAATCTTCCCCACGCCTCGCACCCAACTAATCGCTCGGAAAAACGATCTTCGAGTCCCTATATACGCCGAAAAATCATCCTAATTTACGAACGCATCAAATCTCTAAAGTGTGTAAAAAAGTAGGCCAAAATTGGTGCACATTTATTGCCCATTGCAAATAGTACAAATTGACCACACGAAAGCACATAAAGATGGGTACATACATGAAAGAATATCCCTCGAGTTTCACTTACGTTTTACAGAAGAAGCTCGTAATCGACCTAGTGCCTTTGGCCATTTTCAATCTCTTGGTCTGGGCCGCCGACTTTGCCTAAAAATAAGAAAGCATTTGTGAGTCTTCCTGCCAGAATACAAGTATCAAAATGGAAGGTGCCGCAGCTAACCATTATCGGCTTTGCAGTAGTGACATTATTCAAGTAGTCTTCAGTTGGATTGCCGTAATTTATCGCGGGCCGAAGCGCATTCAACCCGTCATTTTCTTCAGTGTGATCGTTTTCTTTATCTGCTGCAGGCAGTGAAACGAGGCCCAGACTACTAAGGAGCTTATCAACAAGCTGATACGGCAACTTGTCGGCGACAATTTGGAAAGCCAGTTTTTTGAGTGCAGAGTTATCCAACTCTCCCGATGCCGCAGCTGCGTCTAAAGAGACCGCAAAAAAGGAGCAAATCACTTTGATAAAAACTGTACCAATTATCACCGAGGTATGCTCACGCATTTAAAAGACTTCAACAAACAATAGCGGCCTAGAATCTAAACTTTAGACTAAACAAGCCAATAGTAGAAAAATAATTATGATTATTGGGCCAACGTTCAACCAACAAGTACCAAAAGTTGGTACAGTCCTATCCGGGTAAAGCAAATGCAACCCACATCCAGAAGGGAACGTGGAAACGACAAAATTACCACTGGAAGAGGCTAAGATAGCTCTCAATTGAGGCATTTGACGATAATCGGAGATACCATGTGCCGCCTCGAAAATCCGATTGACAGCATCATTCAGCCAATCCATCAGCTTTTCTTCGCTTAAACGAAGCACCTTTAATCCACAGGTTACTAGATTGGCCAAGTGATTTTCACTACCACTAGCATACCTTTTGATTCACAAATCGTGCAGAGTTTATCAAAAGTGGAGTCAGGAAAATAGTCCGGATAGCCGGGTGCACACTCTGATCGAATGAGAACATCAAGAGTTGTAAATTTGTCCATTTTTAGGAGGGAGGGAATGAAAAGGAAAATCACATTCATAGGAGCGAGGAAAAAAATGTCACCGCCTAAAACGAGTAATTCTTGAAATTACCGAATACTACATTTCGAAATCCGATCGCCAAAAATAAATGAGCGACCTGGAAGATTAATTTTCTGCAACTCGTAAATAACAGTGAAATCTTCTAAGGCAATAAAAACGCACTTCTTTTCTACATTGCACAATTAAAGTAAGGACAGCTACCTAATCTGGGATGGGAAAGACGAACACACTTTGAGCGTTTTAGAGCGGAAATTGAAATACCTAGTTTTAGGAAATTAAGCGAAGAAATAAAATGAACCTGTAGAGACGAACAAGCGGAGGTTCTTCATATTGTTCTACGAATCACATAAATGGGAAGCCAATGCGTGCAAACACACTTGGTAAATAAGGCATTTAAGATTTTGGAAACTACACCAAGGTCAATGTATCGTCAAATAAAAGCATTTGTAAAAACCAATGCAATTAAGAATTCTTCCGGTTGGTCGAATTATTTTGCTATTTTAAGTGCTAGGAAATATTAATTCACAACAGTGTGGTAGCTTGTTAGAGAAAATGCATACGACTACTGCACAAGTTTTTGTATAAAATTACATTAAAGAGTGCAATGCTAAATTTAATAGAGAGATGCCAATTCTCTAAATAATTATGTTTTATTCCACCTTGAATCGCAGCGGACGATCTACATTGGTGTATTATCAAAACCTCTTAAGTCGTTTGGTGTCATGTGGATACCTCTGTTGCTTTGCCTATATTGCGTAACATTTGCCATTGCATTGCCCGAGATTGGCCATTGGGAAGTTAATAAACCACTGGTATTGCGATATATTCACACTTCTCTAATGCGACCTGTAGGGCGAAAATGCAGTTTTCCCTAAATCAGTTCTCGATGGTACTTCTTTTAGTGTCCAAGGTAACTACATTTCCACAGTTCCTTATAAGTCTAGTAACTTGTACCAAAGTGGCTGACGTACGATTCTCTTTGTCCGTTCTGTGGTCAGAATGTGCGGATGCTTTCGCTTACGTCAAACAAGTTCAGTTCATTTTCTCTACTTAGTCACCTTTTTAGGGTCGTAACGCCTCTGTAATTTCAATGCTTGTCGCACCTGGTTTAAAAACAGAAAGCATTGCCAGAACGGAGAAGCAGTTTACCTGCTCACCCGTTGATCCTACGGTAATTTAACTCCGCTGAAATGTTGCTAACTTTTTGCGTATTTTATTTGATTGTTGTTTGACGTATTTTAGACGGTTGACATGGCGATTCCTAGATCAGGCTCTCAAATGACTGTTGTGTCGATGAACTGTATCGATAGTTCCTCTTGTGACAAGGACATTAATGGTAATTCGTAATATCCCAAAATTTATCGCATTTACTGCCAGCTCATTACATCGTGGATATAAAGGGCAGCTACGGGTACCTATCAGGGATTGAATATCCCCTCAGAAGAGTAGGTTTGGCTTTTTATAATATCTAGCCCTATATTTTTAGTTTTACGGGGTTTTAGCATTGGGTCATGCCCTCCTGGCTTTCCTTTGGTTATGCTTCACACTCTTTCACTGGAAAGACCTTCTACGAATCCAGTACTACATCACCCTGATGGTCATTATCGGTCTTGTGGAACAGATCACTCTATACGCACTATACGAATCGCTGAATCGAACGGGCGTCACTCTTAAAAGTGCTCTTATTTTCGCCCTCATTGTCAGCTGTGTGAAACGCACTCTGGCGCGCTTTCTCCTTCTCATTGTTTGCGTTGGGTCAGTTATCCGTTAGTTTATCCTTTAATTTTGTCTTGTAGTTTTCACTTCATTCCCTACCTCTCTCCGTTAGGTACTAGCCTTCTTTCCTGCTTCCTTTTGTCGTCCTTCACTTCCTCCTTTTTCTCTCCATTCCCTTTTTTCCTATTCTTCCTTGCTCTCCTATGCAGACTTTTTTGTCTTACTTCGTATTCCTCTTTGCCCTTAATTTTGAGTTCACTTATTACTACTTTTTTCTTTTATACATCTCCTTCTGACATTGGCCTTTTCCGTCATTATTCATTTCTCCTATCTCTTCCTTCCCCTTTTCCTTTGTATCTTATTTCTTTAACTTTTCACTTGCTCCCCTTCCCAACCAAGTTGCTTCCACCTTTTTGTTTGAGACTATTATCTCCCACCTCCCTGTGTTCTTTTCTTTCCCTTCTACTGCGTCTCCTTACTTCATTCTTTACCTTAACAGTTGCGCCTATCTTTGCTCTTCCCCTTCCCTCTTAAATGCTTTCTACTTCCTTGCTTCGGCCTTTTTTCTTCCCTCTCCCCTCCCCTCTTTATCCCTTTGCCTCTTTTACTTTCTTTCTTTTTCGACTCTTATTCTCCCCGTTTCAATAATTTGCACAATCTCCTTCTCCTCCTCTTTTCTCCTCTTTTCCTTCTGTTTCCTTCTCCCTCCTTTTATTTCTACCATTTTTACAGTTCCAAACATCAGATCATGAATTCATTCCTTTTGCTTCGTTACTCTTTCTCACTCCCTCCTTTTTTTTCTCCCCTTCCATATTCTGCCCCCCCACCCTATTCACCCCCTCATTTCCTTTCATCTGATCTTCCTGACGAGGTGGTGTGTTCTCCCATCCTTTTTCGCCTCCCTTCAGATACGGCATCACCAAATCGCGGTTAGGTACGGCCTACCGTCGTATCGTGTGGATCTGTGTAATTTATCTAGTCTGCTGCCTCCTCGACAGCGGTATGCGCGCCTTCCACCCGCGCTTCAAACCCTCCCTCGCTGTCCTCCTCGGTGGCCTGCCCATGATTGCTGTCGATCTGGCTATCCTCTGGTGGAGCTTCTCCTACCTCGTTAGCACTCTGCGCGAGACCCGGATGCGACGTAACAAAGTCAAGTACCGTCTCTACCGCATTTTCTCCGCTCTCCTCATTGCTGTGGCTCTCGGTGAGTTCTTCCTATCCTTGTGTATTTATCGTCCCTTAACCCCTTGGATCTTCTTGTGTTCCCTTTTTTGATTTCACAAAGCTTTTAGGGTGGATGGAAGGTCCTTAGGCCTGGGGGGTTATTTAACCTCAGTTTTTATTGTAAGGGTGATATCCGTTTTGTGTTACTTCCAACACAAACCTACTCGAATTCGAGTGGGCGTCTGTCACGTGCTTTCTACGTCAACCAAGCTGTTGCCATCTATTTACCGATATTTTTTCCTTCGTTTTCAGTCTCCATTCTCTGCATGTGTGCGTCCATCTTTCTGCTGCATTGGAAGCCTTGCACTAGGGTGAGTTTGCCGTCTGCTTTCCACTCTTACTCAACTGGAGTGAATCAAGAATGCGAAATCGTAGACAGTAACCTTGATACCTGGTCAAACAAAAGGCGTGAAAGTTATTCCTGACCAATCAGAACTTGCCAAAGGTACTTTTAGTTAACTGGACACTCCTAGCTAGTGAGAGGCGAATTGAGGCGTGCTTCTAACCTATCAGAGGTGGGGAGAAGTGATACTGACTAATCAGGGAGTGAGGAGGCAATCAAAAGCGGATCAAACCACAAAGATGAGGTTAATCGTCTAGAATTCTTCCAGACACTTGTAGAGTGAAATCCATTTCGGTAGGTTGTTAGTAGGCGTCGACAAGTAGAAAGAAGAATCCTACCCAAACGGAGGGTTGGCAAGAGGGACCTCTAATCAACTATTACTGCCTCCTTTTCAGGCGTGGCGGTACATATGGTTCGACGAGACTTTCTGGCAGCTACTCTTCTTTGTAATCCTCCTCACCATTGTCATCCTCTGGCGTCCCAGCAGTACCAACAAACTCTACGCGCGCAGTGCCTTCCTCGACCCCGATGTCGAGCCGCCACCCGAGGATCTCGAGGAGCGCCTTCTTGACGCCATCGTCTCTGGTGCGTCATTTTGTTCCTTTGTTGCTCATGCGATTGATCCGCTCTATCACCGTTCATTTGGTTCCTGTGGTGGGATCTTTTATTGGCTCATCATTGGTTCCCTGATGTCCCGATTTGCCCTATTGGTAGCTCAGAGTGATCAGGAATTACCTCACAAATGCTCCGTCACGCATCGTTTCACTCTGTAAAAGAGGACGCATTGTACTATTAAGAAGCCTTACTAGAAAAGAGCGTGAAACGTGGAAAAGTGCGGCCTCTCAACGCATCATATACCGACATCGCGTCTCAGCCTCTCACACACACAGACACACGCACCCACACTTTGAGTTGAGGTAATAACGCTGCTTGCTGCATAAAACTTTTTATAAACAATACGAATCCATTAAGCAGAGCGATGCATCTACATCATTCACAGCAGTCTCCTTAATCGCTGATGCGCGTATGTGTATGTGACTTTTTTTAAATGTCGCTACACCTGATATTCTGGCGTGTAAACCGGAGTAGCAAAGTTCTTTACCCATCCAGACGCTGTGTTACATCTTTTTAACGATGAAGTTAGCGTTTGACATCGCTTTGCATCACAAGTGAAGCGGCACGCATCGACACTTCCCTACTGACACTTTGTCCTATCGGGGTGGCCTCCCCTGAGGCGCGTCAACGAACTGTCACTGAGGTGAACGAAATTTGTGATGCGCGCATAGGTTCACTCCTCGTCGTTCCGAAGTGGATAGTTGTCGTCTCCACCAACCACAACAACGTGGAGGAAGATTGGCCGCTGGACTGTCAACGCCAAGGCGATAGCATTCTACCGTGGTAGCGAGCATGACCCGTGGGTACAGAAATGATCGCCTAGTTAACTTTGGCTTGAGAGAGACGAGACGTGCGTTGTTGATACTGCTGCGACCCTGAGGCAATACTGCCCCAGGTAGCCGCCTTTTTTCGCGGTTTTT